TTTTTGTCGGTAATTGACGAAAGCTGTGGTCCAGACGCACGAGACCAGCTGTCCCCTCGTCTCGTAACCCGCCTTTATCGAAACCCTTCATCCGAATGTGAAGCTGAAAGACAGAAAATAAAATAGTTGTCAGTAAAATAATAAACGTTTTTCGACAGAAGAGTTAATACTTTTGCCCAGCTTGCGACGTATGGAAACTATGACTTTAGTGTATTTCTAAGTAACGTGAATATCTTAAATGTCATTTACAAACATATGTCGAAAAGGAGGTGGTTTTGGAGGAGGTGGAGGTGGAGGTGGTGGCTTTGGAGGAGGTGGTGGAGGCGCAACAGCCCTTGGACTTCTTGCTGTACCCCTTCGTTTGCAAACGGGAGGGGGTGGTGGAAGAAGAATATGGTGGGATTAAAGTAAGTAAACCGAAACTCTCGTACTTTCCTTGTTACACAATACGAAGATATTACTGTGGGTAAATATCGCATGTGATTAAATACATTTGCTGTTTGTACATCTCTTCAATCTAAAGCGTTAAACTGGAAACATGTAGCTAATAATTCCAGTTTGTTATCGTAGTGCTTTCGTATATTAAAGTTGTGCTGGTCCTAAAGGAAAGGGCTTTGTTGATATATGTAAACACATACAATGCGGAAATTCTGAAAAATTGTTGACTTTTCAAATGTTGAAAATACACCGGAAGGTTTTCTACTTCTAATTATTTTAACTCTTGGAGATGTTATACTGCAAATAAACTTTAAGCAAAGAACAATAAAGTTACTTTCTTCATAGGCTGTTCCGGTAGCAGTAGGTGGTGGAGGAGGAGGTTTTGGGGGAGGTGCAGGAGGAGGTTTTGGAGGAGGTGCAGGGGGAGGGTTTGGAGCTGGTGGAGGAGGAGGTTTTGGAGGAGGCGCAGGGGGAGGTTTTGGAGGAGGCTTAGGAGGAGGTTTTGGAGGAGGCTTTTTTTCAGATAAGACATGAAATAGTAGCTTTATTATTTTAAAACTGAACAGCTATAAAAAAGAAATAAATTTAACACTGTAAACTATATTAAACAAACTTTAAATCTTATCAGAAGTATAGTTTTGCATTTGGTTATTCGAAATACCTAACAATTTAAACGTTTAGCTGTTTACCTAAAGAAGCTATTTTTGTTGTCCAGCCAATGATCGCTATATTAAGGAAAGTAACATTTTGTACGTCACAAATTTACCTCTGACATTATTATATTAACTTAGACAGGATTTAACTGATTAGGTTGCTCGGTTGTTGAAATGTGTTTTCTTATTGGTTCTTTTCAAAAATTGTTATGAAGTAATATTCTTAAGCTATAACACAGTAATAGCAGCATTGTTATGGCTTTAAGCACTTATATGTGGCGGACAGTCAAGTTACTATTTTCTCTTTTAAAGTGGTGTGACAAAACTTGAACTAACAAAATCCAAGTTTTATAAATATTAACATGTAACAGATTTTACTCTTTGTTTTCTTTTTCTCTCGGGTTGTTTGTTTATAGCTAGTAATATTATGACTAGAAACTAATAGATTAGATAAAACGTAACCTAGATTTAAAACTATATATATATATATTCATCCAATAAGCTTACGCTTTAGTATCTGAAATCTGAAGTTTGTTCAAGTCTTACACCTCGATAGCAACTATTACAGCCAATGTATGTATTTAAAGATTTACATATAATGATTTACCTGAATAGCTAGACCTCCACCTCCCCCTCCACCAAATCCTCCACCTCCACCAAATCCTCCGCCGAGTCCACCAAGTCCTCCGCCAAGGCCACCGTAACCGCCCCCACCATAACCTGTAGCTGAACCCTCTAGGTCATCTTTCGGTTTCACCGCATTCTCGATTTCAGCGTTCACCACAGCTGCTGATAGCAGCAGAGCCAGAATAAATCCTTCCTTTTGAAACTGGAAAGAAAATTGATGTCATAGTTGTAATAGACATTCAGAAACCATATATAACAAGAGTAAAAGTAAAAATTATGGCTGTATACTTTTAACATTTTAAATATAAAACCTTATACCGTCGTGATGGGTATATGGTGCCATCTGACGGAATTTTAAAATGTCTTTTAATACGATATTAATTAGCAGCTTAAGTTTATATAAGTTGGTAAGAGAGAAGAAGTTTTCTGGTGTGCTTCAAGAAGTAACAGTCTTAGATTATAATACACTTTGATTGTTTAATAGTAGAGGGTTTCCTTTCATATTCTGCACGTTATATAAAACTATTTTTCATATCTTCAGACATTCCCGCCTTGGAATGTACATTTATTGCTATGTAAATAAGAAAACAAGTCTTACATTAAACAGAGTTTGGATATTTTGTGCAAAAGTCTCAATTAGAGAAGAAAGGTTTAGCTCATTTCTTATAAATCAAATCCTTAAATAAATCACTACACTACCCGTTTATATACACACATATGTTAAACAAATAACTACATTATCAATCTAACTACATACATGTGTTAAACAAATAACTTCACTATCTATCTAACTACATACATGTGTTAAACAAATCCCAACACTATCCATCTATATACATACATATGTTAAACAAATCACTATCTTATCCATCTATATACATATGTTATTTAAATTAGTTTATCTACAGTTAGTTTCGTAGCTACTACAAACCCTTTTGTTCATCCTGAGTTCTCTTCAAATAATGAAAACGTAACAAGATTCGAATGACTACGCCAATTATGTTAAATTACCTTTCAACTTTGTAATTTGATTATTGAAAAAGGACAAAACCTGTTTCAAAATTCGTATATAAAAGGATCACCAGAAGATCAGATTTCAGAACACATCGAAACCCCAAGTCCTTACAATAGAAGTAAAAAAATTATACAAATACCGAGGTGCTAAACATTCAAACCTAAAACACTTGATTGTGTTGGAAACAAATCTGGCAGACGTGCAAGTGATTACTAAGAATGAAACGCTTACATCTGAACAATGATATACATTAAAACTTCAACCACAAACGAACGACAAATTTCGTAATCTTTAAACATGTGTGTAGATAGTTTATTAAAGTAGGTCAAAAATTCAAGTTATACATATTACTCTTACTTCATGTGTTCCGCGAAACTCAAACACGAATTCCAGATACAATAATAATTGGTCGTTCACTACGAGACCAGAAAAACACACACACATTTCCCTGTAATAAATCAGTCATACTTTTTCAAATTTTCTGTCATTAACTCATCCTCTGCTCATGTGCACTGCTTGATGGAAACTAAATAATTTACACATCGTTACACACTAGTGGTCAGTGTTGGTTGTAATACAAAGACGCAACATAAATTGGTAACAGAGAAATTACCCAGAAAACCTGCTGGTACATTTCTTTCAGATGAATAAGTACTTCTACGTTGTTTAGGGATAAATCATCATAGAGAAACAATTATGTATTAACCAAAAACACATATGATCTTATCAAGGTGGTTTTTACTTGATATACGTACTGATACATGTCTCTAATTCACATTTCTTTTATACATGTCTGTAATACGCACATTTCACTTTGGTTATAATGGAGATCGTAACATGAATACTAACTTAACTGTAGGCGAGAAGACAGAAGAAAAAAAAAACGCTGTTATTTTGGGGGCAGTTCTAAACCGGTAATATGAGATGCAATATTCACCTTAAGGCTGTTTAGCCACATCAGATAGACTGGTAACATGAGGTAAAAATATTCACTTTAAGCATGTTTAGCTGCATTAGTTATATTGGTAACATGAGGTAAAATATTCAAGTTTAAGGCTGTTTAGCTACATCAGGTAGACTGATAAAAACGACAAATACTCCTGTTTAGATCTTTATTTTGTGTTCTGTATAAACCATCATCAGGGCTACTATCTACAGTGTTAGCTTAGAATATATTCAGCTACAATATATTTTAGGTAAAATGAGGTACAATATTCACCTTAAGGTTGTTTAGCTACATCAGGTAGACTGATAAAGACGACAAATACTGCTGTTTAGATCTTTATTTTATTAATCCCCCCTTGAATGTTATCTCTACATGGCACATAATGTCGCTAGTGATCACCTTATGTGTGAAGACTTGGAGACACAGTGGTAAAAATAATGTAGAAATCTAAACAAGGGTGTTTGGCAAGATTCGCATCTTTAAACACCTCACTACAATCAATCAAGTTGAGGTAAGAACTCGTGCAGAAGAACTATCCAACCCTGCTGATGTAATAGTGATAGGCTAGAAATAATGACACTTTATCAACTTTATGGCTGGCACAGGAGCCAAAACATGGCGATTTCAATCTATACAGATGAAACCAAGACAAGGCCTTTATGCTCAGATACATTATCCAGCAATATC